GCATGTTGACGCGCCAGGTAGGCTACAAACGCCAGCATGATGGTGTCTGTAATCACCTTGGTGCCGACTAGTTGGCAGAATTGGTGCAGTCGTTTCCAGGCTGTCGCGTATGTGGCACGTGTGGACGCTGACAGGCCTAGCCACTGGTAGGCCTGACCCTCCAACATCAGAGGGAGTAGGTGCTCTCGGGCACCGGAGATGGCGTGTCTTCTGCTGTGGGTGCCAGTCGGCGAAATCGGGCCATCTGAAACCGAGACAGAGAGTCAGCAATCGCATTGTCAGTGCCGGGGATGTGGGAGACTATGACGTGAAAGTTGTGTCGGGCAGCAATGGCAAACAAAGTGCGTAGAAGCGCCATTAAGTCGGGGCACTTTGTGCGTGAGCGGAGCCAGATGTCGCATACGCCACGGTTGTCGCAGTGGAAGCGGATGCGCTTCAGATGCAGCTGCGGTGCCCATGTGGATGCTGCGGCCACGATGGCAAAGAGCTCCATCCACGCGATGGATCTCTGGGATTGGTGCCTCTGCCACCGGTGTTGGAGCCACCGGCCGGCGAAGAAAGCACCATAGCCGATGGCTCTAGATGCGTCTGTGTAGAGGTCCATATCGGCGGCGGCTGACCACGTGGGTTCTAGGAAGAAGGCGACGCCATTCCAGGCAGGGAGGAAGTCAAGCCACCACTGGATGTCTGCTTTGGCGTCTTCTGTGATTCTGATGTAATCATTTGGATTCGGGACCGTCGTGCTGAGATCAATGAGGCGGCGCAGAAACATGCGGCCCGCAGGGACCGCCTTGCAGGCAAAGCTGAGGTGACCTATCAGGGACAACAATTCAGACTTGCGGGTGTTAGGGCGGGTATGTTGCCAAGCCTTGAGGGCAATGAGAAGGTCTTCTAACTTGTCGGATGGGAGGCGGATTTCGAAGCGCTCTGTGTCCAGCATGACACCGAGGAATGTCAGGGTTGTATTAGGGCCTTCCACCTTTTTTGGATTGACCGGGAAGCCTAAGTCGTGGCAGGCTACCAGGGCACGGTCAAGCTGGTGCTGCGCGCCGTTAGGGTCCGTCGCTCCACCAAGGTAGTCGTCTAAGTAGTGGATGACTGGGGCTACGTCGAAGTTGTGCGACATGACCCACTGGAGGGCATCTGCGACTTTGTTAAACAGCGATGGTGATGAGCGAAGGCCGAAGGGTAGGCATTTGTCTACGTAATATTGCCCGCGCCAGAACAGGCATAATAGTTCCCAGTCCTCTTTCCGTACTGGACAAATGTGAAATGCGTCTTGGAGTTCGACCTTCCACAGATGGCAGCCGCGGCCTAGGGACCGTGCGAGATTTACGCCGTCGTCGACCGAACAGTACTGTACAGAGAATTTGTCGACAGGGATACCATCGTTCACTGAGTGGCCCTGTGGTGCTGACAGATGCATAATCAAGCGCCATTTTTGCACCGACCGTGACTTCTTGGGAACCACACCCAAACCGGAGACCTGTGTAAGTGGGAAGGGGGGGCTCTTGGTAGGGACCGGCCATGCGACCTGCGGCAATTTCACGACCGATAGCAGCATCGACAATGTCAAGGTGCTCAATCGCTGATTTGAGATTACGAGAGACTCGGGAGGTACGGGGACCCGCAAACGCAACATCGAACCCATAAGACAAAGAATGTATTACGAATGAGGCAAAAGCCGGATCAGGATGCTTACACAAAGCGTCATGCAGGTAAGAAACGTTAATGGGGGTTACAGGCGTGTGCAAATGGATTGGCTCGTGAGCGAGGGTGCGTGTAGGAGAGATGTGAGCAGCTGGGCAGAGTGTGTAAGTGCTATTGGCCTGGGTGAGTGTAGAGTTACCGGTGAGTGACTGGAGTGACCGAGTCTCCAAGCTGGGCAACTGCGAGCTATTGGTCGCGGCTGGCGGCGGCTGGCTTTCCTGGGCATGACTTGGCGGGGTGGCGGCCAAAGCATGTGCTGCACTGGTGGCCGTAGCGACAGGCTGCGCGTTGGCAGCGGCCTTGGTTGTAGTCGCGGCAGACAGCTGGGGCGTTTGGCTGAGCGGTAGCCCCTGACCGCTGTGCCGGAAAGGGGCGTTTGGCTGCTGGCCCGTCAGACAGTGAAGCTAGGCTACGGGCGCGGGGGCAGCGAACTGCTAAATGACCTTGCCGGTTGCAGTGACGGCAAGGAGGCAGGATGGAGTTTGTAAACCACTCCGACCAGAGTTCCGGATCTGACGTGGCAAGGCTAGATTTGCTGCGTGCAGCTCTTGCACGGAACGACATGTCGAAGCCAGACCACGCACCGAATGTATAGCGTGCGGCCGCTTTCACGATTGTGCTTTGATACTTGAATAATTCCGGACCTCTGCCGGGGTCGTGGTGGAGGGCTACTTGGGCGAAGGCTGAGAACGCCTCCGACCACGATGTCAAGTCTACAACTTTCTTTAGACGGGATGACGACGACATGGCAGATGGCACAAGGGTGATGTGGTCCCCCGTCCCCTGCAGGGTGAACCCACTGTCCGGACCCATGCTCGTATCAAAAGCCAGCTCTCCCAGTACCCTACCAAAATCAACGTACTCACGTTTGATAATCTTGTCCGTGAGATGGTCGCTGAGGGCAGGCGGATGGTGGATGCTCTGGGGCGAGCAAATCGCCGTCCAGGAAGAGACTCTCCTGGTCTGGTCTTAGTGCTGAAGCCAGTGAAGGCTGGACATATTCAGGCTCAGAGTCAGGCACCACCACATCACCAGAGACTGGACCAGCCCGCTGTGCTGCTGTTGCTGCTGCCACAGTTGGCTGTGCATGTGGAGGTATCACCGGTAGACCCATCGATGTTGTCAGTGACGCCATGCAGGACGCCACTGCATCTTGCACGACCCGAGAGATCTCGGCAGATTGCTGCGACGTGAACGCGGGCGACGAGTCAGGCTGGGTCGCGGCCGCGGGGCTTTGAGTGGCCGGGACTGACGCAGGACTAGCCCGCCGACGCGTGGTCTTTTTTTGCGACCTGGCTCGTAGAATTTGCTTCGGTTCTTGCCTGGGCCCACAAATGCTCATGCAGACGGCTCACCTGGGCTCTAAAATTGCCTGAGCAAGAAAGCCCCAGTTCTCGCAGTCGAGTTTCAACTCCGTCGACTTTGAGTTGGCGGAGATCGGAAAGTGATGGCACGGAGCTCATGGTGACGGCTCAGGATCTCCTACGACTGCGGAACTTTAGAAATTTCAAATCTCGCCGGGTAATTGCAACCAAGAAATTGCAAAACAGTTGGATGCACGCAGCAGCACAGCTAGCAAGAGAAAGAGCCGTGGATGGGTTTGTTCCTGTTTTTTGATGGCTGTGGCCATCCGTTGGCCCAACGGTCTCGTGTGAGTACGGTGTTTGTTTGTGCTGCCAGCTCGCGCCCGGCATTTGTTTGCGCTGGCAGCTCGGGCCCGGTGCGCGAGTGAAACCGAACCGTGACAAAGGCTTTCGCTCTTTAGTGCTATTGACTGGCTTTTCATACGATGCCTATTGATCTCTAGAGACATGCTGTCTAGCCTTCCCTTAGTACGCATTCACGGGGCTTGTTGAAGTTCGTGCCGTGAACTGCCAAAGGGAATTGTTTGAATGGTGCTGGGGCGAGTGCGACATTACAGCGTCCCTGCAGCCGGCCTAATCGCGTTTGTCGCCACAACCGATTTTATGAGCCAATTGTGCGTAATTGTGACATTTGAGATCGCTACATTTGAAATAAAGTATAGACGTGTCAGGGACGGCCATTGGCACGCACAGTGACAAAAGGATACCACAGGCACTAGTTGCATGCATAAACAGCAACAGAAGGGGCGGAAAACGGATGTATCGTCTAAATGCCAGACGCAAACAATTGCGTCAAATGTTCAAATTATTGCAATTATTTCAGATTTGAGATAATTTATGTAGTTTTTGCTGATCTACTCGCGTCGAGCGAGGATTGGTGATTGAGAAGACAAGAAATAGTTCCTAGGGGATGACCTCCGCCTGCCGTGGTGATTTTATGCCATCGCTGCCCTCCCTCTCGCTGCTACTTGGAGAGCGAATGCTGTGATGGCTTCAGCGATGAAAATTTCGATTCAGATCCTGAGATATCGCTGATTCATCTCTCTCCAGGTGTCTACCACGACTAGAGGATGTCGACATTACCTGGAGAAGGCTATATCTCTATTAGCAGCAGCGTGACGGAACGAAAACACGATCGAAATTGGCAAAATACATCGCAGAGCGCTGCATTTGCGAAGCGCACTTTTCGCCGCGATCGGTCTCCATACTTTCAAATGGCGACCTACCCACATCATACATCAAAATTTTCAGTGGGATCTCAGCTGTCCACTGCAAAAAACCGCTAGTCAATCAGAGAAAGGACGCCGCCGAACGGCGCTTCCAAGTGCGGCGCGCCGAACCGTAAATATTTTTACGGTTCGAGATGGGCGCGTGCATGAAGGGTTAAACCAGGTGAAAATGTTTGAGGGGCACCCCCCCCCCCTCCCCCTCCTAAACCCGCCACTGAAAAGTGTGAGTGACACAACGTTTTCTTTCTGTTTACATAACACAGGGTCACGAGTACGAATATGAACAACTTTCAACACCTGCAATTGCTTGAAGAAGCATGTGTGAGCCTGTCTGGCTTTGCAGGCTGAAACATATACTGTACATACATCGATCAAAATCTCGAGACGCCCGTTCAAAGCCTATCTGCATGCAATCTTAAACTCCTTTTTGGTGGAACATTGGTCCGGTATTTTCCAGATCGCCCACTATTACCCTGCAATGCAGTAATATATCAGCAATAGCCTTTCCTCTAATTTATACTCAAAACGATGGCGGAATGATATTATATGATGGCATGGCAGTTGTTGCCCCAGTGCTGCGCTTAGCCATGGCATGTAAATTACTGGCAATATAGATATGAAGAATGAGAGCAATGATCAAACATTTGGGATGTGGGGCAGCTGTATCCAGAAGAAACTGTTTATTGCGGCAACTGACCTGTGGTACTCTGTTGATTGCCAGAAACTTCACCAGTCAACACGTTTAGGATCACCACCAAGAAAATAGTTGAGAGAGGCCTCATCTGAAAACACACACAAACAGGCAAATATATCAACGAGAGAGCTTGGAAGCTCAGGGCCCTACGCTATGCTTTGTTGCCTAGCTCATCGTGCATGTTGTTAGAACTGATGGAAATCTTTTTTTCTTTGATTAGCTACTTCCTCCGTTAACAAAAACTTCGTGATGGATTTTCATGGATAAGAAAACGCTCAGAACAAGTCAAAAACAGTTTGTATCGACTTCAAATCACTGAACGAAGGTAGTTCAGGCTATGGACAGCGTCTTTACAAGAGAACTTGTTGCAGAATGAACAGAGAGTTCCGTTTCTGTCGCTTTCGCTTGACTCATTTTTGACCCTGCTTCGCTGTCGTCATCTGCTGTATGTCATCTCTCTCGAGTCGCTGTTCAACTCGTTCAGCCTTGCCTCGGCTTCTTTGATCACACTCCGCTGAACTTGATGTCGCCGTCGTTCAAGTAAGTTGGCTCTCAAGTTGCGCGATCCGCCGCGATGGCGATTACTCGTTTCCACCAGGGAGTCATAAAATAGTTTACGACTCCCTGGTTTCATCTCCGCCCTCCAGAACTCTTTGGCACGAGGAGTAAAGGCATAGCCAAACTAATTCCATTTTCTCTGATCGATACTCCTGCCAGCACTGAGCGGCAGCGGCTACCAAGTCCAGTCGTCTTTCCTTAGCCACGAGACTCGCGTCAGACTGCAGACTTCTGAAAGAATGCATGGTCATCAGCATTCGAATCTGGGCTTTGCGCAGGTTGAACAAGAACTTGGATTCAGAATTATTTCATTGCGCTGTTCGATCGGAGCAGCTCCTTGTTCACTCGCTCATTGTGTGGGCTCGCTGCTCCGTTCCATCGCTCTCTATCACTCTCACACTCAGTGCTAGAGTAGTAGAGAGGCCAAGCAGTGCAATATCCCCTCTGAGAAGTGGTAAATCAGGTAAATCAGTTTCACTCGCCATGACTGTCATCACCTATGTTGCCACAGCCCAACCATCGATTTCGCTCGTCTTGTTGTGAAAGGTCGCTTTCCTTGCATCGTACCTCTTTCATGGCATGCCAGGGAAGGCCAAGAAAGTGATCGCGACTCATTTCACGGCAGTTTGTGCGCACAGCAGCCCCTAATAATATCCATCACGAAGTTTTTGTTAATGGAGGAAGTACATATTGTATTGCAAAAACGTTTCAATGAGTTACTGAAGAAACATCTTCTGCATAGCTACGGGACTGGCGCTGACTCTGCTGATCACGGGCGTTCTGGAGTCGACGGGATGTCTGTCCAGACGTTTTATGGGACCGGCGCTGACTCTGCCGATCGCGGGCATTCTGGAGTCGACGGGATCTCTCTTCCGACGTTGCCTGTGACCGGCGCTGACTCGCCCGTTCTAGCTTATTTTGGAGACGACGGGATCTCTTCCAAAGGATGTTTTTGCTGACGCATCCTATCACCTATTCGGGAACTAACGTCCATTCTAATTGCATTTCCTCCTCGTCTCCCAATTTCTTTCCAGAAAATCTCCCTATACATCGGGGAGCCGTATACATAATACGACGAATATTGTGGCCAGCTGTGTTTGATGGTACGGTGTGGTACGGCACAGATACGGGAGCCAGCTAATTTTGTGGCCAGCTGTTTGTAGCCAGCTGTGTTTGATGGTACGGTACGGTACGGGACAGATACAGGATAGCTCCAGGCGTGACACAAACACACAAACAAACAAACAAATACCAAATTAAAGCTGTGTGGGCCCTGGCTAGCGCAAGACGTTACTGAAGTAACGTCTTCTGCATAGCTACGGGGATAAAGATTGGCATACAGGCTGGCTACACCAACCCACAGAAATGTTACATTATCGTGGCCATACACACACACACACACACACACACACACACACACACACACACACACACACACGCACGCACCCACGCACCCACGCACACGCGCACGCACACACTCACGGACGCACGCACGCACACACACACACACACACACACACACACACACACACACACACACACACACACACACACACACACACACACACACACACACACACATACACTCATGCACACGCAAACACGCACTCACACGCACACACACACACACACACGCACGCACGCACGCCCGCACACACGCACATACATACATACACGCACCCAATGCCGAACGACTGACCAGCACAAGCAGTGGAGAGTGTTGAATGTTGTAACTGGCCGTTAAAACAGAAAATTTTATTGAAATCCACAGTGATACTGTAGCGGGCCACAGTCTCTCGGAGGCAAGAACACACAAGGGTCTCAGTGAACACACTGTAACTGGCAATTGAAATGTAACTATAACTGGCAATGAAATTAAATTGCTCAAAAGAATCGTGAACAGCAGCTTTAATGCACAGGCAGACTCCGTATGCTAATGTACAGGGATACGCTAACGTATGGGGATACAGTACGCGGATATGCTATACTCTAAACACTATACGCTATACGCTATACGTTTTGAAGTCACCAGCGTGCCAACGCTACACCTCCCCTCTCAAATACAATCACCTCCTCGTGATTCGAATACTACATGTAGGTGATAGCTGAACATCGACAACTGGCTGCTATTTAGAAAAAACTGGCGGCATGCATGATCGCGTCGGAATAAACTCGACGATAAGAGATAGGCAGAATGGATGACTTGCATAATATAATACAGGTATGGAGTCGTGAACATTATAGTAGATCGCGAATTGCTGGGAGAGCGTCAACCAGAGTATGGCAAATAATATCGGAAATGATAACGTTTGGAATAGACAGAAGAAGGAACTGATAAACAAATCATAAAGTAGAAGCACACCAGGTTCACACGATCTCATGGGGTCAAAAGGGGAAAGAACTGTCCTCCAAATAGGACCTGAAAAACCACAGCACTCTTGCTGCACAACGCTGGCACAACCCGCCAGGAACATCGCAGTTCAAAAACCGAACTGAATACACTATAACTATAAGGAGCGTTGTCACACACATTGTCCCACGTTAGCTGGGTAAACCGTGGCTCGCCATGATCAGACGCCTACCAAACTAAACTGGATTCACACACTCGCATAAAGGAAGACTGAAGAGAACAGGGAGACTGAAGGAAGACAGGAAAGAAAATGCCATACCTGGAATCAGCGTTAGTAACCACGGCGGCGGCTGGAGCTATGGCGGAGGGCGAGCCAGGTTTTATCTTCATCTTGGTTGAGCCGGTCACTCAGAGCGGCTAGCTCGGCGACAGACAAATAACCTCCCTCCTCGTCTTGAATCATGGTCTTCACATTGTCGATAGCATCGCTTTGCGCGACGTAAAGAGAGATGGTCTAGCCAGGAAGAGTGTTGACGAAAATCTGCATCCCACCACGGAGACGAAGTACCAAGTGAATAGTGGACTCCTGCTGAACGTTGTAGTCACTCAGTGTTCGGCCGTCTGCCAACTGCGTGCCGGCGAAAATCAAACGCTGCTTGTCTTGGGGAATACCCTCCTTGTCTTGGTCAGCAGCCTGCATGTCGTCGTCCTCATCAGCTTCGCCATCACCACCTGTAGTATACATGTAGGTAGCGGGTCGCTTGGAATTGCCATCGGAGTCTCCAGTGAGTGCCGTGCGGAGAGAAGGGTGATCCACGCTAGCACCCTGACCGTGCTGCAGGCTAATAAGCAGGGCCAAGCCCAGGAAGGCAAGAAACATGATTCTCATCTTGATTCGTCGCACGGAGCTGTAGCGGGTTGAGCCATGGGGTCCGAGAAACGTGTAAAGTAACACAGTTAGGTATAGAATGAAACAAAATGAATTTACCGCTGCCACCAATTTGTAGCGGGCCGCAGTCTCTCGGAGGCAAGAACACACAAGGGTCTCAGTGAACACACTGTAACTGGCAATTGAAATGTAACTATAACTGGCAATGAAATTAACTTCAGGGCTGGTATTTGGGATCACAAAACGGCAAACACGTCAGAGGCCATCTTGAATCACTCTACGTCATCAGATACCCGCACGTGATGCGGGGCCGCGAGATCGCGACTGTGCAAAAGTGTACTTGCCAGTGCAGTCTTTGACCTAGCTGCAAGAGCAAGTGCTAGTTTTTTTATTTTTTGGTGGTGCTTGAACTAGTTCGAACTGCTTCCCTTCGACTTTCTTTGACAGAGCGGGTGCTGTTAGGGTTTCCTGTTGTCAGTTTGTATCCATCACCGGTCTTGTATGTCAGTGCTTGTACAAGGAGGTGTTCAGTAGTTAGTTTCAGTCCGCGCCCCAGGGTAGGAAAAAGTCGCACTCTGACCGGCTTGATTATCCCGAGTCGAGAAAGAAGCGAACTAGTGGCCAGTTCGGCTCAGTATCATGGCCAGCTGGACGTAGATCAGATCGCCCAGAGGTCGAACAAACCGACAGTAGTCCTGAAATCCTTACCTCGCAGAACATTGACGATGTGGAGCGCGGTGTTCAAGAACAAGGAACCATGGTAATAATTGGATTCGCTCCAGAAAATTATTCTCGTGGGTCCCGGTTCCTTTCCCATGACTCTAATATTTCCTATGGTCTGGATACGTGCATCACGCTGAAGCCTAGATGAATCAGATTGTAAGTCAGTCTTCTCTCTAGCTCAAGATTTTGCGAACATGTTATCAGTGAACAATAAAAGCAAAGGAAACAGTGCAACAGATGGAAAATGCACGTCTCCTTCTTTTCCTTGCCGTGCGCACTGCACTGTCACAGTCTGCAGTTCTGACTGGAAGGTGTCTTCCGGCGTTTGTGAAAGAACCAGCGCAAATCGCGCGTGGTGCGGCGTCCTTCAAAACGACACAAGTGAGCTCCACATGAGCCGATTTTGACAACCGATGGCTCAAAATTTTCAGTAGGAGATGCTCCATACTTTGACCGAAGCGAATTTCGCCAAAACGATCCTAGAGGTGGGACACGTTTACCGAGTTTGAGGGTGTTATTTGAGGTCTAAATTGCGAAAATCAAAAAATCCTTCGGTGACTCCCTTTGC